ACCGCACCGTGCCGTACCGACCGCACCGCACCGCACTGCGCACTGCACCAACTGTACCGCGCCGCACCGCACCGCGCCGCACCATGCCGCGCCGCACCACGCACCAACCGTACCGACCGTACCGACCGTACCACACCACACCACGCCGCACCGCGCACCGACTGTACCGACCGTACCACACCGCACCGCACCACGCCATACCGCACCGCACCGTACCATACCGTACCGCGCCGTGCCAGGGGAGAGGCCCCGCTGCCGTGGCCGGGGGGAGCCGGGGGCTCCTTGCGGCAGGAGGCTGCGGGTGCCAGAGGGGCCAGGGCGCTGTGGGAGTGAGGGCCGGGCGCCGGGGAGGGCCCACCGCAGGCTGCCGCCGCCATGGCCTTCCCGGTGTGACCCTGGTCGTTCCCCTCAGCCCTCCTCTAGCTGTGGTGCTGCTGCACCGGCCAGAAGTCTGGAGGCAAAAGCTCATGGTTTATTGCAAAATGGCGTTCCGCTGGGGGTTTTGCTAAACGCAGCCCCTGGGCTTCGGAGCAGGCGAGGTGGCAGGCGGCGGGACTGAACCCCTGCTGCGGGCCCCTCTGCGCCCTGCCGGCCACCACCCCGCAGGGCAGGGGTGCAAGGAGGTGAGCAGGGGGACAGCCCACCCTATCCGGGCCTTCGCCCTCGCTTCTGCAGGGGCATGGACAAGACGGGCACGCCATAATTTGAGGAAAGAGCTCCGTGCCGCTCGTGGTCACCGTCACCGTGGCGCTGAAGCACAGAAGATAAATAACTGGGGAGCGTGCTGTCCGCAGAGCAGTGCAGGGTGGCACTGGAGTTCATTAGTTCAGAGCCCTGCGCTGGGCCTTGTTTTGGATTTTCAAAATCTGTTGTGTGTGAGAAATGGTGTTTTCGCGGCTCGCTGACGCCTCTTGGGAGGAGCAGGGGGGACACAGGCAGCGGACAGAAAGGAGAAGATTGATGGTGGGTATTTTGGAAGCCGTCTTTCATGCAAACGATGCTGCCTACTTAGTTTGAAAAGTATTTT